CTTGAACACTGCAAGGACCAGACAAAAGTTTATTAAATGAATGAATTAGTGGACAGACTTGCTTTTGTATATGATCGGTTATAACGATACAAGTCTTGAACCAAACCAACCACTCGGATGAAAAGAGTAATAGAGCAAGGTACCTCAGGGATCCTACACTGTATGGTATGCCTTCAGTTGGCCTTGGGCCAGCCCTGGCCCCACAGCCTACTCATCCCAAATCATATAAAAGACCTGACGAGGAAGAAATTGCCTAGCAAGCAACTTCAATTCCAATTCATCAACTGGAAGATGAATAACAATTTTGCCTTCATTCAAAGCCTGGAGGTTTCCTGGTTTCTCTTTTGGGCTGATTGAGAGGAATCAGAGCATAATATAAACTTGAGTGATTTATAGCTGCAAAAATCTTCAACAGGAGTATTTTGCCAAGCTATTCTCTGCAATTCAAGTTCAATCGATATCTGAATAAAATACATGTTGATAAATTAAATAATCCATAGGTTGCTAATTTTAATAAATAAATTAATAAATTAAATAGGGATACGTTAAAGCATGGTCACGAGCTGCTTCGAAATGGAAGAGAGCGAGCGAGCCCGGGGCTTGCATTGAGGTGACTCAGTCCTGCGCGCTCCTACTAATGAACCAGAGGAAAGCACCACACGTGGGGCATTACATGTAATCAGGAATCAAAATCACATTGTTGACACTGTGAATATTGCAGTGAGCATCATCCACCCATCATGGAAACTCTACCACCTCCTGAGGCAATCGAGAGATTGCTCTGGTCAGAGTTAACACCTGCTGTCATCCCAGCGCGGCAACCCTTGTATCTGAGGCCATCAGAGAAACCCACCACTCCATTCCTCTTCTCTTGTCTCATTTCTAAGATGCTATTTCTTTCCTCCTCATCTTCTTCCTGGCACATTATGCTTCTCTCAACTCATCTTCCCTGTTGTTGTTTTTTTTTCCCACCACGGTCTTTCATCCTCCTATACCTAAGGCCCAATAATGATACTTGCTCGTACTGTAAGCATCGCTGAGACGAATTTTCCAGATCACTGAAGCTTATTTCTTTAAAAGCTAAGGTGTGTTTTTAAATTACTTTAACCATTTTAACTGAGGGTTTGGAAAATGCACCATCTGTTCTCTTTACTTCTTAACAGAATGTACACCAGAGCCCTGGACGCTTTCTTGACCGTGCAGGCTTGTCGATCTCAGCACCCCTCAGGTGCTCCCGAGAAGGTAGAACTCTCTTCCAGGTAGACATTTCCGATCTTGTGCTAATAGTTCTAGATCTCCTGTGCCATTTAAGAGCTTTACTTTTCAGGGGCACCTGAGTGGCTCAGTTGGTTAAGCGTGCAGCTTTGGCTCAGGTCATGATCTCATGGTTTGTGGGTTCGAGCCTCGCGTCAGGCTCTGTGCTGAGAGCTCAGAGCCTGGAGCCTGCTTCAGGTTCTCTGTCTCCCTCTCTCTGCCCCTCCCCTGCTCATGCTCTGTCTCTCCTTCAAAAATTAACATTAAAAAAAATGAGCTTTACTTTTCACTATTGTCCCTGTTTGTCACTTCTGCCTTTCCCCTCCCACTCCCTAGTGGCCGTGGATGGGGAGCCACACAGGCCAACTGGTAGCAAGAATGTGTCAGGATTTGAGTGATATATGCTCATAGGTCTTTGAGTAAGAGCCCGGGGCCCATCCGGTGAGGCAAGCTCACTGGCTTTGTGACAGCAATTTTAACAGCTCAGAGACCCTTTGTCCTTAATTGTGGGGCTGGGACCGTAGGAGTGCTAAGTAAAGACAAGTCAAGCACATGGGAGCTCGTCCTCTGGATAGGCTGACTGGCACTGTCATTTGTATTCGGGTGGGAACACTGGCTCCCGTACAGTCTGGGTGCATGGTTTCAGACTGTACCCCGCCCCTGTGATCCTATCCTCATTCCTCTTTTAAACTTCGGACAAAAAGTGAGACAGAAACCGGGAAAATGCTGACTTTTGTGAGTGACACCATCCTGTGAAGGAGCCTCCTCCAACACCTCTGTGGGGCTGCCCTTCCGTCTCCGGCCTGCCACCCGGGACGCTCACTGCCCTGGCCGCCCCTATGCTAGTGACTTGCCCTGTCACCGGCTTACCAGGCCCTCCTCCCCTCTGACGCCACCCTTCTCACAGCACCTTTTCGAGCTTCTTAGAGCAGAACCTTGCTGTCATCAGTGGCTCTTCCCTCAGTTTCCCCTTTCAAACCAGGCAATTTCAAGATTCTCATGTGTGTGTAGTGTATCCCACATCCAAGCTGCATTTTAGCTGCTTCTCGCTCATGCCTATTGAGATTCAAATTCATGGCTCCTGCAGGCTTGTGTTTTCCAAACATCCCTCTCACCTCCCTCTCCCCAAATCCCTCTCAAGTAAGACTGCCCTACTCTTTTCACTGTTGGGCTCTCAGTCTGCACTTCTGGAAAGCGCTCATTGGTTAACTCTCAAAATACTTCTTGCTTTCATGTGAATGCTCTATTTTCACCTTCAGTTCTTTTTACGGTACTTCTTACCACCCACCTCCTCCTGTTGAGTCTTTACGTTAGCAGTTCCCAGTTTTCTATGTTCCATTCCACTCCGCTGAGAGAATTAAAGAAACACGTGGCAATTCTCTCTGTTCTTATCGGTCTACGCCGGAGTCCTCTCCTTGTTCACATCCGAATATCTTCAACGACCTCTCAAGAAATGTGCGTTTCTAACTGCCTCAGAAGTCATTTTTCTCATGTAGTCTACTCAACTGTTTTGCCTTTTATGTATCTCCCCAAATGTCTAAAAACATAATCACTAGATTTTCTCTTGCGGTTGTTCCCCACATCATCCCACCCCTTCTTCTTTCCTTCCACTGTCACTGGCCGCAACAGCGGGACTGAACTTCTGAACATTTTACACGGTACCATGTACGGAGTGAAACGAATCTTATTCCCCAAACCGTGCAACTCCTTAGTGTCCTCTCACGGGTCCATTCTCCCTCCACTCCCACAGCTTTCCAGTGTGGCCCACAGAATCCCCATTTCATGGTAAATAAACTCTCCTCTGCCTTCAACTCATTCAGGAAGATTGTCCTCTGGAAGGAAAGGACTCATTCCTCCACAGGATGGACACCTCAGAGGCAGGAATTGGGGAGGGTTTACATGCTCCTTAGAGCCACCAAAAGACCAACACTTTGCCAGCCTCGGGTAAAAGCCTCTCCTCCTTTCTAGCCCATGACCTCTGACTGGCCTCCCTTGCCCTGCTCCTCACCTCATGGTCCTGTGGCCAACTCATTTAACACACCTGCTTTCCCTTTCCACATCCTTGACCTCCTCTCTCCAATGTTCTCTTCTGCTCACTTCAGCCAGCCACATTCTGGACTCCATCTTGAACATGCTCATCCCCTAGGACTATTCCCCGTATAACTGCCCACCCTTCCCACTCCCTAAGGCCCTTGCTCCAGTCAGTCTGCTCCCTCAGAAAGCACGCCAATCCTGTCGAACACCCACCTCTCCCAGTTGGCCAGCCCATCCTGACTCCTCTTCCTTCCCTGCCCAGCCTGGATTCTGTCATTGATCTCGGGAATTGCTCTGTAACCAGCACCCTCAGCTCCCTACCAGAAAAACTTTGGCTGGACTTCCTGACACCAACCTAAGTTCCTGGGCAGCCTCCTACTTCCTCTTCTCCCACCTTCCAGATCCTCGCTTAGGCCTCCTGCCATCTCAAGTGAACCTTCTCCTAAGTGCCAGCTCCATTCATCCACTTCTGGTTTGGCCCTCTCTACTCCCTTCTAAGCTTCCACTCCAAATGAATGAAATGAAAACCTTGCATTTCTGTTATAATTCATTCCTTTTAAAAAATGCTTTTGGATATTTGTTATTTTATCCACAATAAACCTTTTGTGGGGTGGAAGCTCAAGAATATTACAGCCAAAAAAATTGAGTTTTACAGAGGTTATGTGGCTTACTTAAGTTCTCATAGTATTCAAAGAGTAGAAATGATCGGCCATCATAATAATCAAAATATATTTTCTTTCAACCATCTGAGACAACTATGCTGCACCCAGTTATTCAACATATTAGTTGTGGGGATTGACATGCTGATCAAAAAGAGAGATCAAGGGGTGCACCTGGGTGGCTCAGTGCGTTAGGCATCAGACTCCTGATTTTGGCTCAGGTCATGATCTGGCAGTTCTCGAGTTTGAGCCCTGCCTCAGGCTCTGTGCTGGCAGTGAAGAGCCTGCTTAGGATTCTCTCTCTCCCTCCTGCTCTCTCTCTCTCAAAAATAAATAAACGAAAAGAGAGATGAAGGGATGAAGGCAGAGGTCACCTCAGGATCACTTTTCTTCATACAGTTGTCCCAGAGGCAAATATTCAGGTCATTACTGCTGGCTCAGAGAAAGAAATGAATCTGATCAAAGAGATGCAGAGAAATCCCATGCCAGTCAAGCTGCTCTGTGCCCTCTGTGTGGGCCCCACACCAAAACCCAACGAATGAAGAGGAGTCACAGCGCTGGAAAAGCAACTGAGCTCAGCAATGGTGAATCAGTGTAGAGAAGAGAACAATTTGGAGCTTACTAAGTGGGGCACTCCCTTCGTGCATAATTAGTGTGCTTTGGAAGAGAAGACTGGTATGTGACATGCTCACTTCTGAACAAAATAAAAGCAAAACGGATTGTTCCCTTTCTCATCCTGTGCCATCTAGACATTTATGACATCATAAACACCACAAACACAATCCAGTGCAAATCGGAATGGATATACAGATAACAGTAGCATTGAGCAAAGACCCAGATTAAAATTTTTAAAGACATTTGTATGAAATATGTGTTAAAAAGCCAAAAGAAATCCCTCTACAAGTATTTCAGCTTCTTAGATTAAAAAAAAAAAAAAAAACTGTTACATACATCTGTGTTTGTCCATATCCCTAATAAAACTAACATCGTTATCTGCCCTGGGACTCTCCTCCGCCAACAAAAATGCAACTGTTTAGCAAAATAGTTATTTACCTTATAGAAGATCAAAAAAAGATCATCCAGTTTCCCATGCAAATCACCTGCAGTGCAAATGAAAAATCACTCTTCAGTAGGAAACAAGAAAACACCCACTTTGTTACAGAATTTTTAAACAGAAATACTGCTGATATACTCCAAGCACGCTCAGGGCGTTGGGGTTTCACCCATGATGGTATTAACTCAACAATCTGTTTTTATAGCTCTCTTTTTGTCCCCTTTCCTCTGAGGGGCAACATCTGATATTAGAATTACCTGTTCACTCCTGCCATTTAGGCAGTGCCTAGCTTACTGTACCAACCACCGAATTAAGGGTTTACGTGAATTATCCTGTTCAGTCCTGACAACCTCTCTTTGGGATGGGTATTATTTTCACCACTCCGAAGTTACAAAAGAGACTCAGAGTAGTTAACTGATGCAAAATTACCCAGCTACCACATATCAGAGCTGGAGTTCAAACCCAACTTTACCTCACAACTCAAGCTCTTAGCGATTCTTCTGTATTGTTCACACTGTCATCTCTAGGAGAGCAGGAACAGTGTCTATCAGTTGGCATTAACTCCCCAATGCCTCTCATAGTATCTGGTGTATAACAGACACTCAGTAAATGCATTTAATTGCTAAAGGCACAGTTTTTTAAAGCCATGTATTGAAGTATATGCTTGAGCAATAGCATCTAAAATTTAAAATTTGTGCGTTGAGAGGTGCCTGGGTGGCTCAGTTGGTCGAGCATCCAACTCTTGATCTTGGCTCAGGTCATGATCCCAGGGTCATGGGATCAAGCCCTGCAACAGGCTCTGTATTGAGCATAGAGCCTGTCTTAGATTCTCACTCTCTCCCACTTGTGTGCGCTCTATCTCTCTCTCTCTCAAATTAAAAAAAAAAAAATTGTGAGTTGACATTCTTTTGATGAGACAGTTACAGGAAATAAAAATGGAAGCATGGCTTTATAAAACTCAGCTAACTAAAGGACACCACATGAATATGAAGATATTAATTAAAAATTAAGAGTGAATATGTTAATATTCAAAAGCCCTATTTGGATAACTATTTCTAGGTAAAATATCTGTCTTTCATAAGCTCTGATCATAAATTTTTATTCTTTGCATCCAATTTGATTGCCAAATAGAATTTAACATGGAAATACCTTTCCTCAGTTTGCTTAAAACCCCACAACTAAAATTACCCAAATATATGCAACAGAAGACTCCAAAGATGAGAATAATTAAAATCCTGTGCCACCAGCACTTATTTGTAAAATGACTATAATGTTGAGAGCATATTAATGCTACTGTATACTTAAATCTCATTGCTTTCATATGATCCTATTCCAATTCTAAGGAAATAAAAGTGGAAGGGTTTTTTACTTATCCATTAAATATTTATTTTTAATTATTTTATTTTCCTAATTTTCTTCAGGGTGACTTGTCTTTCAAAGACTTGAAAGATTAGGAACTGAGGCTTTGAAAACATTTTTAACTTCTAGTTGGACAGCAATAGATAAAACTTGATGTATGATGGAAAGGATAGCCACAGAGAGCAACTTCCACTGCAAAGAAAAACATGAGGGCAGACCTGTTATCTTTATAATGTAAATATAGACTAAAACACCTTCTATATTGCATGGGTACTGAAAACAATGTAGCATGTCGGGATCTTCGTGTAAATAAATACATCTAGAAACTGAAATAATGGTAAAATTTCATCACACTTTCTCTCCCTTTCCTAGTACTGCCTTAAACAGAAGGTTTTGAAAATACAGCCCCAGTTTTGAATTTTGAACGATGACCAAATTTATCTAAGTTCAATGGGGCTATCAGGACCAAAAATAATAAATAAGTGCTATGCTAAGGGAACCTCCTGGCCTTGGCTTTTCCCTCCAGCAGTAGTGCTCCATGGAAAAATGTCTGGAAACAAATGCCTAAGATATAGAGATCTGTACGTGAATAAGCTGTCCAATCCATCCATTCTCTAGTCTTTGTCTCATGAGGAAAAATGAAACATCAGAGAGATGTGTGATAGGAGATGGGGCAGTAGATACAGGGCTGCCTCTAACCTGGGACAAAGAGGACCTGATTTTTTTTTTTTTTTATTTTGATTTTGCCACTAACTAGCTGAGTGAGCTCGTGGGTGGTGGGGGAGAGTCATCACATAGAAATTCAGGGAAGGAGGGGCGCCTGGCTGGTACAGTCAGTGTAGCATGGGACTCTTGATCTTGGGGTTGTTAAGTCTGAGCCCCATGCTGAGTGTAAAGATTCCTTAAAAATAAAATATTTACAAAAAAAAAAAAGAAAGAAAGAAAGAATGCAAGGAAGGTGATAACACTTTCTTCTCTGTGCCTCAATTTCATCCACAAGAACAAGTGATAGACTAGTCTCAGTAAGAACCATTCAGTTCTTACACCGTGGGATTCCAGGACTCCCTGGCCCTCTAATTAATTCACATCCTTTTACCCAAAGATAAATCTGTAGTGGCAATTGGGGGTATACTGGGAACACGTGGGAGCGGATCTCGCTCTCGGTTCGGCTTATTCTAGACACTTCGGTAGCATATACGGCCCTGGTCCCACAGCCTTCACGGGTTGGCACAGCTTCCCGAGCTGCATGGACCCACATTCTTAACCTCTGTGAAAAATAAGAGCTGGTGAGGCTTTGAATGAAAGGCGCCCGTTGCTGAGATGCACTGTCTGTTAGGCAGAGATGTGTTGCCCTGATCAGGGTCGAACTGCATCATTAAAGATGCTTCAAAAGCCCAAGTCAGGGCATGTGATGCGGAATATCCCACTGCTTCAAGTCCCTATCACCACCGTCAGATGCTAGAAATGGAAATGGTTTCCCTAGATTGTCAAGTCCGCTTCCACCTGCCAGAGTAAAAGAAACACAGGCTACAAATTGATTTGGAAAAAAAACAATCACTGTTTTGTAACCTAAAGGCCTAATTAGAAGTTAAGGGAATTGCTGTTCCTTCCACGTACCCCATTCTCAGACAGTTGCAAGCCTGCTGAGCACCAACTGTGTGGAATTTCAATGTGTACTGTTTCTTGAAGCAATATCCTGCCAGGCTGGCCTATATGATAACAAAATCTCTAGCCTTGTTATTTAGAAGAACAAGGAACAGATTTCTAGGACATTCCCACTCTTCTAAAAGCTGTAGAGACCAATTGGAAAAAATCTACAACAGCAGCCAAGGGCAGAAAAGAGTTTAATCTCCACCCTGCCTTGGGCTTTTTGCCTCCCAGCCTCAGTGGCACGCAGCGGCCCACCTAGGAAAAGTAATATGAAATAAAGATAATGAGAGCTAGACAGAGGGCAAAGCAGGCTTATTCCACCCACGGGTGGTTTTCCGTATTAAAATGCTGTTTGCCTTTATAAAAAGCTAGGAGTTCTTTAATTTCCCACATAATTAATTCCTGCCAGCTGGTATGGAAACAGAGAGAAGATGGGGAACCGTATTATCATGATAGATAACTCTATATTAACACTTTTCCCTTAATACAGTCCAATTTACACAGTTTTCAAGTTAAGCAAATGATGTAGAACCAAGGCGCTCCTAAATATTAATTTGGCAGCTCTGCCCTGAAACTTACCACAGATTGTTATCTCTTTGGAAGGAGAAGTATTTATGTGAGTGAAGTTCGGCATTTGCTTCAGGACTTTCTTGGTCTCAAAGAGCACCTCTAAGACATAACGAGCATGAAGTATCTGTGAGGGCGAGGCAGAGGAAATAAATATAATGAACTAGCAAGAAAAGCATGACTACGTAGAAAGCTATAAAGGTGGAGCATATGAGCACATTTCTGGAAGCTGTATTGTAGGATTATCTCTAAATTATTCCCCAAAAAATTATTCTAGCACTGTGTCTGGCATATAATAAGCCCTCACTAGATATTTGCAAGTTGAATGAATGAATGGTTCTTAGGACATTTATATTCTCATGTTTTTTTTTTTTTTTATGTTTTTATTTATTTTTGAGAGAGCAAGTGCACGTGCAAGCAGGGGAGGGGCAGAGAGAGGGGGAAAGAGAGGATCCAAAGAGGGTTCTGTGCTGACACCAATACGCCTGACACGGGGCTTGAACCCACGAACTACGAGATCATGACCTGAGCTGAAGTCAGACGCTCAAATGACTGAGCCACCTAGGGGCCCCTACTTTCATGTTCTTAACTGACATCATCCATTCACAGAACATCTGTGATTATTCTTGGTCCTTAGAGTCCAAGAGAAGTGAAAGGGAAGAAAAGAGATTCCCTTGCCCCAGGGAAACATGCAGACAAAAATAAATAAATAACAGAGAAGGAGGGAAAGGTGAAAGAGAAGGGGAGACAGAGTGTGGAAGATGGGTTGCTTTGCATTTGTTTGGGACATCCTGCCATCTGGGAGGGCAACCTGGTGGTGGCGCCAGGTTTACAGATTTCACCAGGCAGCCTAGCAGCCCCAAGGAACCCCTGAGCCAAGAATCCCAGGCGTGGCCCAATGCTGGGTGCACAGACGTGAGACTTGACAGAACAGCAAGTGCATTTATATACTAGTCTAAATAGAAAACATATTCCAAACCCAAATAAACCATTTGGATTATCTCCTATTATGACTGTTCATCCAATTGCTCTCCTCCAGTTACAGTGCTGATGACATCATCGTTTTGGACAGATTTACTCCACTTTCTCCACCGGGCGTTTGTTTGTTGTAAATTCAGTGTGTTATACTCCCTTTTTTAAAATTAGAAAACATTCCAAGTACATAATCCCCAAAGTAATATAGCCGATACAAATTTAACAGATGCTAACACCACTTCATGGGTCAGGATTATCTGTACCGCTTGAAATGGGGCTAGCTGAAATTGACATGTGCTGCGAGTACAAAATACACACTGGATTTCAAAGACCTAGCATAAGGGAAAAAAAGGTAAAATGTCTCCTTAACAACTTTTAACCTGAGTACGTATTAAAATGATAATAATTCCATATGTTGGATTAAATAAGTTATTTAAATTATTTTCACTTGTTTACATTTTTTAAAGTTTTTTTTAATTTTTTAATTAAAGAATTTTTAATGTTTCTTTATTTTTGAAAAAGAGAGAGAGAGAGAGCACGCGCAAAGGAACATGAGTGAGGGAGGGGCATAGAGTGAGGGAGACACATAATCCGAGGCAGGCTCCAGGCTCTGAGCTATGAGCACAGAGCCCAACATGGGGCTCGAACCCACAAGCTGTGAGATCATGACCTCAGCCAAAGTGGACACTTAATCGACGGAGCCCCCCGAGGCGCCCCCTAAAGTTCATTTTTAAAAATAATCTCTACACCCAGTATGTTTTTACTTTTTTAATGTGACTACTGGAACATTTTAAATTTTTTTTTTTAATGTTTTATTTATTTGTAGGAGAGAGAGAGAGACAGCGTGAGCAGGGGAGGGTCAGAGAGAGAGGGAATCACAGGCTGAAACAGGCTCCAGGCTCTGAGCTGGCAGTCAGCACAGAGCCCGACGCGGGGCTCGAACCCACGAACCACGAGATCATGACCTAAGCGAAAGTCGGACGCTTAACCGACTAAGCCACCCAGGCGCCCCACTACTGGAATATTTTAAATTATATATGTGGCTCACATTATATTTCTCCTGGACAGCACTGGTTTAGCTTATTAAAGGGTGAGAGTGGGGTCATATCTGCATATTGTTCAGATACTGCTGTGGACATGGGATTCAGAAGAGATGGAATCCTTTGTCTCAGGGTCTTAAATTTTCTATTTGCGGAGCTATTAAGATAATAAAACTATTTTCTATCCCAGACCCCAAAAACATGACTTAAGTTTGGACAATTTTGATGATTAAATATATTTTTTAAGGACAGGAATCAGGATTTGAGGCAACGTGAGAATTAGGCGGAGAGAGAAACCTCTGTGGATGGAGATTAGTGGAGAGACCTATATTTCCTGGCTCTCGAAGACCTAATGATCTTCCCCACAAAAGCTTCTAAATCCATTCAATCCACAACTTGAGTCAAATCTTGAATGTCAACATTCCTTTAGCCACATTTTAAGGAAATTTTAAAGAACAGGCAAAACACCTTAAACCAATGACTTATTTCAGTTTGCACATTTAGTCTACTGATTCCCAACATTGCACTTCACTTGACACTGCGGATTTTCTGGTCCAGTTGTAGCATTAATCAGAAGAAGCACTGTCTGAAAAGGCAGTTTTGTTTTTTGATTTTTAAGTTAAAAAATATTGAGAATGTGCTATGACAGAAAGATCCTATTATTAAAATAATTTTTCTGGATCCTTTTTTTCTTAACTTTTTTATTATGTGTGTGTGTGTGTGTGTGTGTGTGTGTGTGTGTGTTTAAGTAATCTCGACACCCAACGTGGGACTCAAATTCACAACCCTGAGATCAAGAGTCATATACTCTACTGACTGAGCCAGCCAGAGGCCCCTGGGTCCTTTTCCAACTAACTAATATCACTTGGCTAATATCAGTACTTGCTCACAATGCTGTCTTTCAGTAGGATTATAATTGTGTTTACAGTTGCAAAAGTAAATACTCAAAAGAGCTAGCTTAGACATCGGTTTCTACATTTATAAAACTGGAGTAAATAGCAACTTAAAATATTCATATTCTTTTAAAGGTATTGAGGGAGGAAAATATTACTTTTAAAGGATATTTATTTTTATGAAATAGTAAGTTTTCAAATGAAAAATATCTCATTTTTTAGCTGAAATACAAAGTTAAATATTAAAAAGGAGTGTAAATGAAAGGCAGTTTTTCTTCTTCCCCAGACCTCAGTGCTTGTCCCTAAAAACAGCCAGTGTTAAGAGTGTCTTGAACAGCTTTCCAAAACATATTCTATGTGTTGGCAGGCATATAAAAATTAATATAACCAGATATGAACAGGCAATATTAATATATTATGATATATTCTTTTCTATAACTATATAGCCTCTCAAATAAAATGTGGGGGTATAGTCACACAAAGGAGTGTTATTCAACTGAAAATAGGAAAAGATACAGACACTGCTAAAACATGGATATAGCTTGGATATATTTTGCCAAGCAGAAGCCATATACAAAAGGTCACATATTATATGATTCCACTTATATGAAATGTTCAGATTAGGCAAAGTTGTAGAGACAGAAGGTAAATTAGTGGTTACCTGGGGCTAGTGAGAAGAGGGAATGGGTACAGGGTTTTGTTTTAGGGTGATGAAATGTTCCGGAATTAGATAGTGGTGATGGTTGCACAACATTTTGAATATACTAAAAAGTCCTAAATTGTACACTTAAAAATAGTTAAAATGATCTATTTTATGTTATGTGAATTTTATCTTAATTTTTTTTTAAAAAATCAGTATTTATTTATTTAATGAATGGGAGCACACTGTACATTGGAACTTTTATTCTTCCCTTAGCAGCATAATTTTTTCATTTTTATAAAGTCAGATTTATTGATCTTTTCGGTTATAGCTCCTTGGACCTTTGTTACATCTTTTATCTCCTTGAATATATGAAGCATATTTATTTTAAACTCCGAGTCTGACAATGCCGTAATCAAAATATCAGTCTGTTTCCATTGTTTGTTTTTTGCCTCCGTTTTCTGTCATGAATCTTGTATCCTCCTATGCCTTGTGGGCATATTTGTATAAAGTTAATATTTGTATAAAGTTCTGGACATTGTACATAAAAACTTGAAGAAATAAGTTGAGGCCTATTTTCTTCCAGAGAGGATTTACTTTTTCTTTTGGCAGGTGGCTAGGAGCACCAGCTCTCTAGGACAATCTCAATTCCATTACAGGAATTAGATGATTCAAAGTTTTGCTTCAATCCCTATAGAAACGGTCTAGTTCTAGTTCACTCTTACTCCTGGGGTATGCCCCTAGGGTCCTAAACTAAGAATGAGGGGTTTGGGGTACTGTCAGAGAAAATAAAGGAATAGGTAGCTCCCAGGTCCTATCCCTTCAGAGAAACACTGAAAATGTAAGCCGAAAAACTGTCAGAATCAGCTTTCACGGAACTTTGGTAAACAAAGTTTACAGCAGCCAAGCAAAGGCTGAATCAAGAAGGCAACTTAAAAATGGCTCAGTGCAAGCAGGAAGTAAAGGCCAAAACAGGTTTCTAAACAGTCTGGCTAAGTAGTGAAGGGGTGTACCAACACAGAGGCCACCTGCAAAGCCTAGGCTCGTCTTTGCTTTGCTTCTCTCTCTCTCTCTCTCTCTCTCTCTTTCTCTCTCTCTTTCATTCTATCTCTCCAGCTCCTGGTGTTCAAGGAAATCTCTGTCAACACTAGCTGAACACAAGCTAAAAGAACAGAGAGACTTCAGAGACCTCACACAACTAGACCTAGCACACATATACAGAACACTCCATTCAACAACAGCAGGCTACACAGTTTTTAACAAGAGTACATGGAACATTCTCTAGGATAGACCGGATGTTAGGCCACAAAACAAGCCTCAGTAAATTTAAAAAGATTGGAACATGCAAAATATCTCCTCTGATCACAGTGGAATAAAACTTGAAATCGGTAACAGAAGGAAAACTGAAAACTTTGCAAACATGTAGAAATTAAACAACATACTCCTTTTTAATGTTTATTTATTTATTTTTGAGAGAGAGAGAGAGAGAGAGAGAGAAAGCGAGCAGGGGAGGGGCAGAGAGAGAGAAAATCCCAAGTAGGTTCCATGCTGTCAGCACAGAGCCTGACACGGGGCTCAGTCTCACTAACCATGAGATCATGACCTGAGCTGAAATCAAGCGTGGGACGCTTAACCAAGTGAGCCACCCAGGTGCCCCTAAACAACATACTCAAACAGTCAATGGGTCAAAGAAGAAATCATGAAGGAAATTAGAAACTATCTCGAGATGAACAAAAATAAAAACACAACATACCAAAACGTATGGGATGCAGCAAAAACAATGCTCAGAGAGAAATTTATAATTATAAATGTCTATATTAAAAAGAAGAAAGTTCTCAAATGAAACACCTCACTTGACACTAAGGAATTAGAGAAAGAAGAATAAAGTAAACCAAAAGCTAGCAGAGGAAGAAAATAAGGATTAGAGTTCAGATAAATGAAACGACAACAGAAAAACAATAGAGAGAATCAACAAAACCCAAAGGTGGTTCTTTGAAAATATGAACAAAATTGACAAACCTTTAGCTGGACTGACGAAGAGAAACAGAGAGAAAACACAAATAACTATAATCAGAAATGAAAGTGAGGACATTACCACCAACCTTAAAGAAATAAAAACAATGATAAGAGAATATTATGAATAGTTATACACTAACAAATTAGATAAATTAGATAAAATGGGCAAATTCCTGGAAACATACAAATTCCCAAAACTGATTCAAGAAGAAATAGAAAATCTGAACAGATATAGGACAAGTAGAGATTGAATCAGTGATCAAAAATGTCCAAGCAAAGTCCAAGACAGGCAGCTTCACTGGTAAACTCTACTGAACACCGAAAGATTTAACACATTCTTCTTAAACTCTTCCAAAAAATTGAGAAAGAAACAATTCCTAACTCATTCTAGAAAGCCAATAGTACCCTGATATCAAAGCCAGATAAAGACACCACAAGAAACTATATACCAATATCCCTTATGAACAAAATGCAAAAAAAAAAAAAAAAAAAAACCCAAATAACAACAACAACAAAAAAACTTCAACAAAATAGCAGCTAACAAACTCCAACAAAATTTTTTAAAGAATCATAGACCAGGACCCAGTGGGATTTATTTCAGGAATACAAGGTGGTTCAACACACAAAAAAATTAATCAGTGTAATACCCACATTAATAGAGTCAAGGAAAAAAAAAACAAATGATCCTCTTAATTGATGCAGACAAGGTATTTGACAACACCTAACACCATTTTATGATGAAGCCACTCAGAAAACTAGGAATAGAGGAAAACTTCAACACGATAAAAAGCATCTATGAAAAATCTACAACTAACATCAAACTCAATGGTGAAATACTGAAAGCCTTCCCACTAAGATCAAGAATAAGACAAACATGCCTGATCTCACCACTGCTATTCATCATTGTACTGAAAGTTCTAACCAGAGCAATTGGGCAAGAAAAAGAAGTAAATGGCATCTAAATCCAAAAGGAAAAAGTAAAGCTATCTCCACTCCCAGATGACATGATCCTGTAGAAAGATTATTTCAAAATACATGCACACGCAAACTAATAGAGCTAATAAATGAATTCAGCAAAGCCAAGTGGCAAAATAAAAGCTCAACTCACAAAAATCAGTTCTCTCTCTCTACATCAACAATGAGCAATCCAAAAGGGAATTAAGAAAGCAATCCCTTTTACGATAGCAATCAAAAGAACAAAATACCAAGGAATACATTTAAGGTAGTAAAACACTTGTGCACTGAAAACTAGAAAACACTGCTGAAAGAAATCAAAGAAAACCTAAATAAATGGAAAGACATCCTCTGTTTATGAAGTCAAAGACTTAATACTGTCAATATGGTAATACTAACCAAAGTGATTTACAGATTCAACGCAGTCCCTACCAAAATCCCAATGACGTTTTTTGTACAAACAAATGTCAATACTCAAACTCATTGCAAAGGAACCCAAATGCCAGAATGATATTGAAAAAGAAGAACTAAATTGAAAGGTTCATAGTTCCTGATTTCAAAACTTACTACAAAGTTACAGTAATCAAGACAATGTGGTAGCGGCATAAGGATAGACACATACACAAATGGAATAGAATTGGGAGTCCAGACATAAAACATCTATGGTCTATTGGTTCTCAATGAGGGTATCAAAACCACTCAATGGGGGGAAGGAACAGACTCTTCAATAAAAGGTGCTGGGACAAATGCATACCCACATGCAGAGAATGAAGGTGGACTCCTACCTCATACCACATACAGACAGTAACTGAAAATGTTTCATGAACTAAATGTAAGAGCAAAAACTACAAAATTCTTAAAAGGAAATAGAAGGGGTAAATCTTTGTGACCTTAGATCTGACAATGGCTTCTTAGATATAACACCAAAAGCACAACCAACCAAAGAAAAAAGTAGATAAATTGGGCTTCATCAAAATTAGAAACTTTCATGAATCAAAGGGCATTATCAAGGAAGTGAAAAGACAACCTACAGAATGAAACAAAATTTTCAGACTATATATCTGATAAAGGATTTGTATCCAGAATGTATAAAGAACTCTAATAACTCAATAATAAAAAGACAAATAACCTGATTTTAAAAATGGGCAAAGGATCTGAATAGACATTCCTCCAAAGAATGTATACAAATGGCCAGTAAACAAGAAAAAATGTTAAACATCTTCAAGTCATTGGGGAAATGCAAATCATAACCACAATGAGATACCACTTAACACACAACTAGGATGGCTATAATAAAAATAAATTAAAAAGAATAAACAAAAGCAAATAACAAGTGTTGGCAAAAACAAAATGTGAAAAAATTGGAACCCTCTCGCATTGCTGGTGGGAAGGTAAAATGGCACAGTCACTGTGGAAAACAGCTTAGCAATTCCTCACACAAAGTTAAACAGAGTTACCACCCGACAAAGTAGTTCCAATCCTAGGTACATATACTCAACAGAACTGAAAACGTGTTCATACAAAAACTTGTAAGTGAATGTTTGTTTGTTTTTAATTTTTTTAATATTAATTTCTGAGAGACAGAGACAGAGACAGAGACAGAGAGAGAGAGAGAGAGCACAAGTAGGGGAGGGACAGAGAGAGAGGGAGACACAGAATCCAAGGCAGGCTCCAGCCTCTGAGCTGTCAGCACAGAGTCCTACATGGGGCTTGGACTCACGAACAGTGAGATCACAACCTGAGCCGAAGTCGATGCTTAACCGACTGAGCCACCCAGGTGCCCTGTAAGTGAATGTTACTTCATGACAGGCAAAAGGTAGAAAAAAATCCAAATGTCTATCCAGTGACAAATGAATTAACAAAATGTGGTATATTCATATAAGAGAATATATATATCCATATAACATGCATAGCAATAAAGCAGCAATTAAACATGCTATGACATGAATGGACATGAATATACCTTAAAAACATTATACAAAGTGAAAAAGCCAGACCCAAGAGGCTACATATTATATAATTCCATTTGTATGAAATGTCCAAAATAGAAAAATACCTAGAGACAGAAAGTAGAATAGTGATTGCCAGGGGTGAATGAGGAGGGAATGGTAATGGGTATGGAATTTCTTTCTGAGGTGATGAAAATGTTCTGGGATTAGATATTGGTGAGAATTGTGCAATTTTGTGAATATACTAAAAACCACTGAATTGTACACATTATTTATTTTTTTAATTGAGGAATTGTTGACATGCAATGTTATATTAGTTTGAGGTGTATAGCACAGTGATTCAACATGAGTAAGTCCACATGACTTACTCAGTCCCTAACTGAAGGCCTGGATCTCCCAGTCCCTTTCACCCATTTTGCCCATCCCCCCACCCTTAAACCACTTACTTTAAAATGATTAATTTTATGACATGTGAATTATAGCTCAGAAAAAGCAAAAAAGGAAATGCTGTAAGCCTATAGATAGGAGATTTCTGTACATCTAAGGAGACTTCTATTTAATACGTAAAACAAAGCAGAGGATAACTCTCAGTAGTGAAGCTTTTCCCCAAGGGAATACATTTCTGCTGCATCTTTTCATTCATTGATTCAACAGATGGTCATTGAACACATGTTATATACAAGAATCACAGCAGTATCTGCTTCCACTTGCCTGTTGTTGCTTGAAGGCCTCAACAAGTAAATCAATATCAGTAAAGGTGAGAGGAAATTGCAGTCGAGGACCGTTGTAGGAGTTTGGAACCTCTATCAATGTGACACACTCCTGTCTATCCCTGTTGTCCTGGGAGGTGCTACCAAAAAGTCGAGCAACTATTTCTAGAAAATGAAAAACAGAAAGGGTGGGGGAATCAACATTACCATACTTAAATTCAATAAATACCTTCTTGAATATCAAGTCTATGTAAACACTGTGATACATGTTATGAATACCAAGACACCTCACACACACTCATGAGGAAGGATTTGTTTTCAGATCACTAGGTATATTCACATGAGTCACCCTCATCCCTTCCTGGGTGGACACGGTACCAAAGCAGTGAGTTAATTGGTAGAGAGGAAAAGGAGAAACAAAACTGGTCAATCAAGGTACTCTGATACTCTGAAACTACCTCTACATTTTTTGCCCACTCTTGCATCTTAGATTTTTACAAATAGGGCTGAAAACATAACCACACATTGTATTTGACTCAAACATCTGCGCTATTCAGGATCTACAGAAAATTAAACTGTAATATTCCATTTTTCCCCTGTTAAACACTTCAAATTTTACCTGGCTATAATTGATTTATTTCTCTCTTCACATAAAAACGGATTTTTTTGACGTGTTTTTTTTCTTCTTGTTAACAAAGCAAATAGAGTTAGATGACGGACCACAGGCAGAGATACCCAAAGGACCTCTCGTTCAGAGAGATATTTCTATGTAACAGATTGTCTGCACCCTTTCAGTAGGTGCTGAGACTCGGGGGTCCCTTGCTTGCTAGACTGTCTATGAAATAGTCAGCCCAAGTACAGAAATCTTCAGGTGGAGAAAGATGAAAGGGGATATGGTAGACTGATTGCAAAAGTGACTCCAATTGTCCATCCCAACCCCTAGACTTGCTGTTTTTTTTTAAAAAATAGTTTGTCAAGTTGGTTTTCATATAACATCCAGTGCTCATCCCCACAAGTGCCCTCTTCCATGCCCGTCACCCCCCCCTTCCCCTCCTCCCCACCCCCATCAGTCCTCAGTTTGTTCTCAACATTCAAGAGTCTCTGACTTGCAGTTACTCTCATCAAGAGTCTATTTCCCCAGGCTTCGAATCTGGGTTGGTGGGTTCATGACTTGTGTTGGCCTAAAGAATGTGGTGGAAATGGTATGTACCATTTCTGAGCTAAGATCTCAGGAGGCCTTGTGTGCTTCCGTGCTCTCTCTTTTGAACCCATGGCACTACCAAAAAGCCCAGGCTAGTCTAATGAAAGCTCCAAGACTATGGGGAGCAAACCTGAGTCACCCCAGTCAAGGCCATCCTAGATCAGTCATTAGCTAGCTGATCTCTAAATACATGAGTGACTTCTAGCCAAGACCTGAGAAAAACCACCAAATCAAGCCTTCCAACATCAGGAGAAGCACTCAGATAACCTATAGACTTGTGGGCAAAAAGAAATGTTTATTACATGCTATTGAGCTATTGTGGTTAGTACATAGTATTATTTCATTAACAGATAACTGATATAGAAGATGATGATGTACACTTCAACTCATTAGCACTGAATTGCTACCAAGCCCATTAATTAGAAGTTATGGGCAAGAAGTTTCTATATTTTTGAATGTTTAGAGTGGACATGTTTAAGGTGTGACATTAGATGATGTAATCAGAATACATGTTTTTCATGATCCAGTTATGCTGAGAGATTACAGTTAAGAACTAAAGTTGGAAAAATAGTTGGGGAGAGGGAGGGAGGCAAACCATGAGAAACTCTTGAGTGCTGAGAACAAACTGAGGGCTGATGGGGATGGGGGGAGGGGGGTGATGGGCACCGGGGAGGGTACTTGTTGGGATGAGCACTGGGTGTTATATGGAAACCAACTTGACAATAAACTATTTAAGAAAAATAAATGAATAAAGGTGAAAAAAATTTTCTAAAGTAAGTCATAATATTTGGTAACTTAAACATACTTCCTAAGTTATTGTATACCCCAATACCTCTTTGGTGGTGGTTGATGATGTTTTACAAGAAGTTAAATTTAGGAATAAGAATGTCTGTCTTCAGTGTGGCCCAGGACAGTGTATTCTTCTCATTTGGATTTGGTTTGAGATTTGAGAATAACTTAATCATTCCATTTTATGCTTGGAAATTAAAAATGCAGAGCAGCTTGGTATATTTTATCTCAGATTGCGTTGTGCAAGCAGTGAAGCCTAAACACTCTACTTCACTGTCTTAACGATTATACCACTCCATTCTTAGAGATAAATCTTCCTAACTCTACACACTGAAATATCGGACTCCTCTTGGGAAAACAGTAACAACAAGGAAAAACAAAAACAGCCCTGCCAGTCTCACTGTATCCTCTTATAACTGACTTATTGAGTAACCCCAACTGTATGAAGTATAAGCATGAAATCATTTTCTTTTCCCACTCACTGCCTTCACCTATGCTCTGTCCACTCTGCCTTCCTCATCAGCTGACACATCAACCCAATTCCATCAGTTCCAGGCATTAAAATGCAGTCTTGTTTTTTAAGAAGAAAATTAAAATACTGTTTTTCTTCTTTAAAATGCACAAAAAAGGTTAGTCTGGCCTTTCTTTCCATACATTTGTTGACCTCGATTTCTTAGAAGTTCTGTGATAAATACATGAAAAAGCACCCTACCCCTATGCCAATTCTTAGCTAAAACTACTCAATATGAAATATCAGTAATCATCAAATCATAATCCTTTTTAAAAAAAATCCTAATCCTTTTGCTGATTTTTAGCCACATTAAAAAAATAACATAGATTCTCTTCCTAATATGGTAACTAAGGAGGATCATATACAAAAACAATCAAAGCTTCAACAGTTCAAATGTAAGTACTGTGGGCTGCAACTATTATAACTAGTAAGAATAACTTAATGAATGCCAACAATGCATGAAGATTTGTGCAACATGTAATTTGAATGAATCCTTACCTATTTGATTTACAATTCTGTCAACATGAATCTAAACTAATTAAATATAATGAAATCTTGAATTACAACCAAATGATACCTTCACAAGTTGTTCTAAAGAAAATACCTCAAAAATACCCCCACGTACAATCTTTTCTTTTTCCCAGTACAAACTCAAAATCTGGACAGGAAAAATTTTAAGGCCATAATTAAAAACACACACACACACAATTTCTGCCTCTACCACCCACGTGTCACTTTGAAAACAAGCTCCAAATATGGCTGGGGGGAAAAGCACCAATTGAACTGCACTTATAGTTATTTCATTCCTCAAATATGAATCTGGATTCAAACTATGAGTGCCCCTGTAACAAACTCAGTAAGTGCCAAAATGACATTTTATAAAATTCAACACCTGTTCCTGATTTTTAAGAAACTCAGAAAACTGGGAATGCAGGCCTACCTCCTTAACATAATTTAAAAAATTTAAATCAACAAGAATGGTGTTTCCATTAAAGAATTAACAAAACAGGATGCCTACTTTCACTGCCTCATTTTAAAAATGTTCTGCCACTTCCAGCCATTGCAACAAAACACAAAGCCAAAATAAGAGCAGTGACTGTTGGATAGAAAGATGTACAAATGAAGTTACTTGTGACGAGTGTGATTAAATATCCACAGTCAAGAAAATCAATTGAGAAACTCCCAGAACTGACAGGATCAATACCACAGAGGTTAAGCACACTGAATCACAGCTTTAGCACTGTTGAGATAAATCACCGGGGTGGGGGGGGGGGGGGTGTTACTTCCTAAGCCTCAGTATTCTCATCCAACAAAAGGGAATGATAGTACTACTAATCTCAGTGGTTTGTTATGAAGGCTAAATGAAATATTTAAAGCACTTAAAAGACATGGCACATGGCAAACATTTAATAAATACTCGCAGTAATAATTTAATTAACATTGTTATTCAATAGTAGCTTAATACAAATAGGTATAAATCAAAGGCTTGTTAAATACTACCAAGAATCACTGGGGAGATAGAATGGGCAAAATAACCTACTGACCATAACAACAGAAAGTATAAACTAACTGGATCTGATGGGACATTTTGGCTGGGCTGGGAAGCAGAAGGCAGAGTCACAACAACACTTGCACACACTCCATCACGCTCCCCACTTCCACCAGGCACTGTTTAAACCTACTGTTATGTACAGCAGCTGCGGCTTTGTGGGGCACATGTGTGGGGTCTCCCCACCAAGTCTTAGGAACCGGTCTGAGGAAGTCAGTAGTAGGGCGCAGGAGGGAACTGCTTCCAGGTCACCTCCCACCGTGGAACACCCAGGATGTCTCCGCTAACCCTGTGGCTCAGAGTTCAAACCATTAATCTGAAAATGTGAACTGATCTTCTGGTCCCCAAATATACCCCGCTCAGGGGTCACAGCCCTTCTGCCAAACAGGCCTCAGTGGACATTGTGTGGAACCTTCCCACGGAAGAGGGCCATCAGAAAGCAACCTGCAGTAATGCACAGCGCGGTGACCCTCGTCAACAATACTCTATTGTATGCTTGAAAGTTGCTAAGAGAGTACATTTTTAAAATTCTCGCCATATACAAAATGATGGTGACTGTGAGATGAGGGTTATGTTAACTAACCTTAGTGTGGTAATCATTTCATAATATATACATATTTGAAATCACTGCACTGTATACCTTAAGTTTATACAATGTTATGTGTCAAGTATAGTTCAGTAAAGCTGGAAAAAAATTTAAATGAAATCAACTTACAGAACTAACCTGTAAATCAATTTTTCTGTTACGTCAATAATCAGATCGGTAAGATTCAAGGACTCTATAACAGAGGGGTGTCTAAGAGAATAGGCAGCTTAGAAATATGCCCTATTACACATTTTTTAATGAATACATGACAAAGGAGGTACTATAAACCATGGTGAAAAGGTACATTATCAGAAATACTGTGGGAAAAATTGGTTAACTGCTTGGACATTTTCTTGTTAGCTGTGTTTTTTTTTTATTGTTTTCAAGCACGAGGCATCGAAGTTTCTTTGTTTAGTTTAATCTAAAAAATCCAAAATGTATGAAGTGTTAAAATTTTTAAAAGCCAAACCATAAAAAAATCTAGAAATACAGGCATAGCGATCCACATTTTAAATATTTCAAGGCCTTCTAAGTTTAAAAGTAGGGATGCACAAAGAAAAAGATATTTAGACTTGAAAGATATTTTAAATAATTAATGGGTAAAAATTTCCTAAACCTGGTGGAAAATACCAACCTAGAGATCACAGAAGCTCAGCAAACCCCACACAGGGTAAATATAAATGAACCCTCATCAAGGCACATTATAGTTAAAATCCTATTTTCCAATGTTACGTAGGTTAGTTTATTTCTTCGCCACCTCCGTCGGGTGATTTTGGTATTTGTTTGTAATCAGTGAAATGCATTTGTCACTGTGTGCGTTCTATTTTGGTACATTCAGAGGAGTGTCACTCTCCCCTCAGTCTTCTACCCAACTCTCCCATTCTCTCTCCCCTATTCCCACCCATCCACTCATCCCCTGTAGGTAAACACTGTCATTAGTTTCTGGTTCATCCTATAGGTTTGTCCTGTATTTATTTTTGCACAAATACACACACACACACACACCTTGATATCAGGCAAAGACTTCTCACACAAGATGCAGAGAGCACTAACCATAAAGAGAAAAAGACATTGTACCACATTAAAATCAAGAATGTCTGTTACCCTCCAAAGACAGTATTTAAAGGCTGGGGAGATAAAAGGCAAAGACTAGGAGAAAATATGTGCAATATGTTTTTCTGACAAAGATTCCTAGTCTTATATTTGGAACACTCAGGTACTCTTAAAAAATGGTAAGAAAAAAGCAGCTAACCCAATAGAAAGATGGAAGGAGACCTGAACAGGCACTTCACCAAACAGGATGTTCACATGGCCAATAAATATACAAAAAGGCACAGAATTTTGCTGCTCACCAAGGAGACACAAATTGAAGCAGAAACGTGATACTACTACATACCTGGCTGAATGGCCAAAATGACAAGGATGGACAACTTCAAGTGTTGAAGAGAATGGAGAGCAACTGGACCTTTCATGCACTGGTGGCACTATAACTTGGTACAATAATTTTAGAAGACGGTTTGCCAGTATCTCATAAAGCTGAACATACACACGCCCTGGAACCTAAAACTTCCCCTCCCGGGTACCTGTACATCTTTATCACGGAGCCCAGTGCAGCAGACCTCATCGTATCTGTGTCCCTTTACAGTAGAATGCTCCTAACCCTGTGAGTCTGTGGCTGCCCTTGTGACTTGCTTTGATCAACAGAATATGGCAGAACTGATTTTGTGTGAGTTGCAAAGAATATGCCTTAAATGGCCTTGTAGATTCCACCTTAGTCCTCCTGGGATCCAGCTACTGTGTAAAGAAGTCTGGGATATCCTGCTAGACAGAGAGAAGTGAGGTACCTAAGTTCAGAGCCAACACCAAAGTCCCAGCCACGTGAGTAAGACCATCTTGGTCTCCCTGTGCAGCCCAGCTAGGTTGAGTGAGCCCGAGGGACACCACTTGGAACAAAGACAAGTCATCGCCACTGACCCCCGTTCAAATGCCTGATCCACAGAATCACAAGGAGTAGAGTGGCTGCTGTTTTTAAGCCACTAAATTTGGGGGTGGTTTGTTATGCAGCAATAGAGAACTGAAAATGAGTATAGAGCAAGAGAGGATGGTCTACGTGTTCACCAAAAAGGATATGCACAAGAATGTGCGCAGCAGTACCATTTAAATTACCCGACTGCAAACAACCCAAATATCCATATGCAACAGAATGGATCAATGTTGGCATATTCGTAAAATGGAGTAGTATTCAGCCACGAGAATGACCACACTGCAACAGCGTGGGTGACTCTCACAAATACAACGGTGAGTGAAAGACAGACTCAACATCATGTGCTTTCATTTATATAGTGAAGTTCAAAAACCAGCCAAACGGATGTAGGATGTAGAAGCCAGGAATACGATGGGGGAATTGAGAAGGGACTGGACAGAGGAGAGGTTTCTGTGGCTCCGAAAATGTTTTCTTTCTTCTGCGTGCCTGTTTACTTTGAAAAAAAAAAAAAAGTACTGAGTCATATACTTATGATTTGGGTACTTTCCATGTAGATTAGACTTCAAGAAAAGTTTATATAAGAAGATTAAAACAATGTCCCCTTCTTTGATAAAAATTTTTAAATCACCTGCAGAATTTTTTTTACATGCAGAATTAAAAAAAAAAAAAAAAAACAGAGCCTGAGGAAATATCGCTGGGATGGACCCCAGCCATCTGTGGCTCTAAATCTCCATCAGCGATTCCAACACACAGCCCAGATCCAAATAGTAGGTCATTAGCAAAAAGAGTGCTGTTTCATTTCATCATCCTTACATTTCCTCTCAGAACTATTTTGCCAAAGAACATGAAGCACAAACAACTGCCTTCAAATTGCAATTATCTAAAAGAAAGAAAATGGCAAAATACCCACTTCCGCCCACTCCCCACTCCTCAGGTTTGGCTATTCTACCATTTAGAAAGCTTCTACAGATCATTAAATGCTTTAATTAGTTTCATACATATGCGCTCAGCTCAAGGCATGCCATTAAAACACTATTCTTTTGCCACTGTGAAGGATGCTTGCTGGATGATTTAAAAGAAGCTCTTACATGCCATATACTTTTAATTAGAACAAAAAAAAAAAAAAAAAAGGACCCAGATTAAAGAAAAGTGAGTTTTTAAGTCTAGCATCTATCTTGAAGAGAACAACAGGCATCTTGATTCACAGAAGAAACGCATGCCTTGGGAATAACTATAATTTTAAAATCATTTTGAACCATCTCTACATTGCCTGTCCCTGAAATGATTTCCTTAGTCATTCCAGAAGGACTAAATAAATGATAAAGAGACAGCGAGACAGACAGCTGGCTATGCGGCAAACAGACAACCGTGTTCCATCCACCATTTCCCCCCAGATTCATTTCATGACATCCTCAAGATATTTTGATCTCTCGGCACAAAAATTTTGTGGATAAAAAATAAGCTCCTCTTTACTGAGCTACTTTCCGTACATCAGTAGATTGTGGTTCAGAGAAGGTGTTCCATGAATTAATATCGAATGAAATCTAATCCAGCTTTTTCAGAGTGAAAAAAAGTGGTCAATTTAGTTAAGTCAACAATAATCAGCAAAAAGAGGCACGTGGCCTGATTTCACCAGCGGTTTGGGGTCGCAAAGGTAAGACAGGTGGGCACCTTTTTAATTTCTTCGACTTCTCCCATCTTCAGAGTTGACATCGCTTGATGAGGACAATTCAATATTTAATGACTGCTTTTCAAAACACTAAACATTGTGCTTACCTGGATCTTTTTCACGCGTATGTGTGTAGTTTTCCAACATGAAGGAAAAGAAGTTGGAGAGCTGGAGAAAATAAAAACACATTTGTCAACTGATGACCCCCAAACAGCTACTGTGGCAAATGCGGTTGGTGTTCCTAGGAACTCTTCTTGAACAGTCATCTCCCAGCTGCCTTAGGCGCTAACGGGTCCCCCTCCCCTGCCTCCCCCCTCCCCCTTGGCAGGTGCTGCACCTCCCCCAGAGACACACAGGGTGTCACATATCCTCCCTCCTTTTTATTGTTAAAAATGTACTTTTTTTCTACTAATAAGCATTAATGCTGGATTTATACATCATTTTCACAAGCTCGAAAAAGGCCTTCCTCACCCATCTAGATTTTCTTCTAGAACTCTCACAGGTTTGTTCTCAGGAAATTTTTCTGTTTTTTAACTCCTTAAAGTTATCTTTTCCTTCATAAAGCAACAATTTGACTTCCTATTGGGGCACATACCCAAGAACCGAATAAGACCATTTTTCATTAGGTAACTAGACATCTGGCAGCCTTCTTCAACATGTAAACTTCAGAACTGCAAAACGCCATCCTCTTCCGAAATCACACCCTCTCTCAACAGCTAGTTCCCAGGCAGCGTCACTACATCCTCTATTAAAGCCTTCACCAAGGTTCCTCAGCTTAAAACGGACCCGAACGTTCATTTTTTCAATTATGAGGAGTGAAGAGAAGCATTTTACCAAAAGAAGAGACGAGCTTGCAAAACAGACCTGCAACTGGCCTTGTTCATCAGCATATTCGATGGACTGGAAGATGGTGAGGGCGTAGCGCTGTCTGGCCTTCAGTCGAGCGCTGTAACCTCGGTACCAGTTCTGGATGACCAGAGCGGCTTTCAGCACTGCGGACCCATAGGACGTGAAAGTTAGAGAAAACCACTTACTATGCAGCTATGGGACTGGGGAAGTAGGTATTCCGGGAAAAAAGGAGTCCACCTGGATTTCTAAGTTCTAAGAACATCAAAACTACGAAGAAATTTACCTTTATATTTTTTGTAAAATGTCCTCAAGTCTCAAATACTCAGAGAACATTGATGGCATAGCCACTGTTGGTAGAGTTTGGGGGGCAAGAAGGCGTGAATGTGAATGCCGGCTCTGCTAATGACTGCCTGTGTGACTTTGATAAGTTATTAAAACTCTCAAAGCCTCAGTTTCCTCATCTGTAGAATGGGGAAAATAACAGCGCCTACCTCTGGCACTATGTAGGCAGATGAAGTCCATGTATGCCCTATGAAGTACCAATTCCATTCTTTCCTAGGTGCCCCCAAGCAGTCCTCACACAGCCCAAAAGGAAGACACATGGAGCTGCAGTGCTTCTTTGTTTGTGGCAGTAGGGAGTTTGACACCAGTGCAGACTGGCTGTCCCCTGCCAGGAAGGAGAACGTGTAACTGTGGTGGGACTATGAGGCCACAGCTCGAAGCAATAGACTAAGTAAACCCACAGCAACATGGCTGGGTCTTAAAAACATAGTGCTTCCAGTTAGAACAGTTATTAAAAAGTTAAAGGCAATGAAATATAACATGATATCATTTTATATAAATTTAAAATACATATACACAAAACCAAAATATACATTTCATAAGAATATATACGAAGGAAAAGACATTAAATAAATAGATTGGTTATTTATGGGAAGGGGAGTGAATGAGCATGGGGTACATGGGTAAAAAGGAACGAGCAAATTAATTAGCTAACATAAGAAAGAGTTTTGCACAGACCAGTGATGGCAATGTACAATGAATTGAAAAGTATAATTTGCTCCAGCTTCCGTACCTGAGATTTAATTGATAAAAGACAGCTGGATAAGTGAACACATCTCCCTCCTTCACAGAGTTACAATAAGGATGAAATGAGATACTACAGGTGAAGAGTTTAGCCCATGCCTGGTTAATAAATGGCTCAACAAACGGCTACGACAGGGATAAGCATTGTCGTGTTCGTGGATTATTCAGGCACACTGACTCTCTTCTGGGGCTCTGAGCCTTTGAACCACCCTGTAGCTTCATAGCTTTGAAGAAAGCGATCAGGTGAGAGATAATGAGATTTAAAATATAGTCTCTTATGCCTTCCTCAAGTTTTAGAGTGAAGAGCGATCAACACCAGCTGGCTTCTTTTATTCATGTTATAATTTTTCCCAGTTAGCACATAAAAATTAAGAGTTGACTATAACAAGAACAATTTGAATTCTAAAAGCAGGATTCTAGCCTCCAGTCCCAGTGTCTCCGGCTCAATACTGCTGTTCTACACTAGATACACTCGTCATCTGAGGGTATTCATTTATGAGTTTCTCCAAGGCTCTCTGGTTCCAGAGACACTCATTTCATTACTCAGCTTCCAGAAGACCCCAGGAAGTAGACATAAGGTCAAGTTTCATGATCTTTATACGGTAAAACCACAGGGAGAAGAAATAGAGTGACTTGTTCAATATGATAAAGCAAATGATTGGGAGGCTGAAAATCTCGAGAGCCCAGGCTCACCTGAAAGGTCAGTTCTATGGGACAGTCACTGTCATGACCAACCAACCCTCCCCTCAGGGGCTCTCTCTGTTCATCAAGTCCGATGGAACTGTCCAGGGCTATTTACTGAACTGACTGAGGGCCAGGCAATGGATTCTTTTTTTTTTGTTTGTTTTGTTTTGTTTTTATTATTTATTTTTGATATAGAGAGACACACAGCATGAGCAGAGGAGGGGCAGAGAGAGAGGGAGACACAGAATCCAAAGCAGGCTCCAAGCTCTGAGCTGTCAGCACAGAGCCCAATGTGGGGTTCAAACCCACAAACTGGGAGATCATGACCTGAGCTGAAGCCAGATGCTTAACAGGCTGAGCCACCCAGGTGCCCCAGGCAATGGATTCTTTTCCGAAGTCCTCACCACACTGTGAAGCTGAGAGAGACTAGCCAGTAAGTGGAAATGAACAGCAAGGGATTGAACCCAGGTCTCACTGATCTGTAGCCCACGCTCTTAACCTCCATAGAGCTATTGACCTTCTTCTGTGTCTCAGTTTCTTCATCTGCACAGTGATGTAGTAGAATAAATGATCACTCAAATCTCTTCTACTTAGGATTAGCACCACCAATAAGAAATAACCATGCTTATCATTTCTATAATCAATAATGGAACAGAGCAACTACCGTATGTTAAGGGCCTACTATAAGACATTTAGTCCCCACAAGTATCTCTCTGTTACACATAAGGAAACTTCAAGTTCAGAGAGGCACGTATCCTGTTTCAAATCACTTATTTAGTACAGACTGAGGTCTTCTGAGTCCAAACTATGGGCTCTCTCCACTATAGCCAGTTACTACATTCCCTAATCTATTTGGACCTTTCCTTCCTTTGAATAAGAATTGCCACTGTTCATTGAATGCCTACTATGTACCTGACACTAAGCTAGACATACACTACCACTTCCACTCCTCTTCCAGGAAACAGGTGATCCAAGCCCCCTGTGCTGTCTCTGCCTTGCTTCTGCCCAGTCCCTTGCTGGGATCCCACCCCACTCCCCAGGGAGGGAGTTACTGTTTTATTTAATAAGCACACAGTATTTTCATGGGCTGTATTTACTCTTAGGAGTAGGAGGTAGACAGCAATGCTCAGTTCCCTGACTCTTGCATTTCTTCTTCTGCTCCAAAGGCATTAAACTCAGCCACTCCCCACCCCCTTCCTGGCTTGAAGACCCACCATCCTTGTTTATGCCTGCATTCCTGTGCCTGCGCCCCTGCATATGGGTACGAATGCCACTTACGAAGCTATCACATGTCAGCTGTCACCCCACACTTCTCTAGTCCGCTCCCTGATGCTGAGGCTGAGACTTCGCGGGCCACATTTCTGATCGGGCCTGGTGTTACCTGTTTGGGGGAGGTGGTGAGACTGGAAAAGGAAACCAGAGACACACTCCTTCCTGTCTGCTGCCGGTTCCTGTTCGTGTACCCTAGCAACGGCTCTCTATGCTGCACCCCCGTTCTCCACCCCCCTTACAGTTTCTCCTTATAGTTGCACTTGGGTCCAGTCTGCAGTTACCCAGCACTTGCAAAACCAGCCTCACAGCAGCGCCTCAGAGACACCAGTGCCAGATGGGCAGCCCCAATTCTCAAAGGCTTGAGTTTCCGTTCTGCGGGATCCCCCCTCTGAGCTTCTGCATGTTACTAATTCCCATCTCTCCACTTTCTTTCTCAGCCCTAGAGATGGTAACTTCCCTGTAGTTGCTACCTCTGTATACCTTAGAGTTCTTTCAGGGAACTTTCAGTTACCTAGGGACAACTCGACACCCAATTGACAGTTCTTTAAGTTCACCTCTCTCATCAGATCACTCTGTGGTTTCTGCCTCCTGACTAGGCCCAGCCAATGAGCCCGCCCGGTCTCACCAGGTGGGAAAAGCAGGCTCAGCTTAGGCCTCAAGCATCCAACTTCCTGGACAATCAGCTCAGGCCCTTACCCGAATCCCACATGGGGGTTTTGAGTACCTCGGCAGTGGCTAGTGAAAGTGGCTCTGATCCACATCCTGCTACACTCCCCTGGCCCTCAGTGTGCCCAGCGCCCTCTCTGGCACAGGGAAGGGGATGGACAGGGAGGGGAGGAATGTACCAACATCAGACCTCTGATACCTCACCTGATTCCTAAGAACCCACCCCCACCCGCCCGCAGCACGGCCACCCTAGCCAGCTGAGGACTGTCCTCTGGGGCACAAACCTCCAAAATGGCCCAGGGGAGAGCCCAGATGTGAGAACCCTACGGAGGGGTTGCCAGCCCCACACCCCCCAACCCTGCGTGCAGAGTTGAAGATCTGTGTCGTCCAGTTCTGAACTCACTGGGCAGCTGACATCCGCTTCTGGGCCTGCTGCTTCATCACGTGACAGGGCCTGTCTTCCCTGTCACATTAATTCCATGCAGGGAAAAACCAAAATTAAAGCTATTGCCGTATGTGTCCCAAGAGCCTTCTATTTTCATTTCTAGAAGGAAGCAACAGCATAGGTTTAGCAAGTTACCTGGCCAATTTTCTGTGGCCAGCACAGATGGATTCTCTATTGCCAAGCTGGGTTTTTTTGGGTTTTGTTTTCTAATAGCTTCTTCCCTTTGGTGGCACTCATCATAGTAGTTTGCAAGAAATTAAATATCCACGTAGGAGACCAATGAATAAGACAAATAAAAATTCAGAGCATTTGTTTTGTAGCAGACACTGTGCTTGGTGCTTTATGTAGATCATTTCATTTCATTTGACTTAATCCTCCCAACAATCCTATGAAGTGTCATTATCCTTACTTAACAGATAAGAAAACTGAGGCTCAGAAATAACTTGTTTGGGGTCACATCACTTGTCATTGGGAGAAAACAGAGTCAAATCCAGATCTCTGCAATTCCAGAAACCGGGCTTTTAACCATTATGTGGTACAAACAGGGTGGCATTTGGATTCAGCCATTAAAAAATGAGACAGTATGTAGAAGAGTATCTCCCTTCTCCCTTCCCTCTCACATTCTCTACGCTCTTTACCTGTTCTATTGTTCTCCATAGCGCGTCTTACCATCTGACATTCTAGATAATCATATGGTTATGTGTTGATTGTCTATCTTACCCTGCTGGCTAAGCTACATGAGAATAGGGACTTCATTTTGTTCACTGCTATATCCCCAGCACCTGGGGAAAGACCTGGCAATGGATATTTGTCGAACAAATGAATGAATACCTTCTAGGGATGTTATAACAATAGTATATTCATAATGTATAATAATGTACTAGTAATTTGTTCCTACAGTTATTCATAATATACTAATTAATTAATTGATTAATATAAAATGCTTAGCACATTGCCTGGCCCAAAAGAAGCACTCGATACACAGTAGAT